CCGGAGGTGGAGGCGCACCCGCCGCTGCGGGCGGGGCCGGGGCTGGAGCCGTACAACCGCGGGGCCCTCACGCGCGGCCCCGGGAGGGCAGGGCCGAGGCGAGGACTTTGTCACGGCGAGGCGTGGGAGGCCAGGCTGGAGCCCCCGCCGGGGCTGGAGACTCACGGGGTCTCGAGCCAGGTCACCCGCAGCTAGGCGCAAGCGTCCCCGGGGCCCGCCCTGCCAGGTGTAATGCAAGTTCCCTTAGCACCGAAAAACACAGCCCGACACACAATTCGCCCTGAACGAACGAGCCAACCCGGGAGTTCAAGGACAGGGGAAGGCTTGGGAATGAAAACGTGCAAGGAGAAGGTGAGGAGAGGTAGGAGAGGCTGAAGTGGGTCAGGGCTGGGGCTTAGCTTTGCCGGTGGGTGAACGCTTGGATTTTATTCTGCAGGGTTCAGGTGGGGCGGTGAGCGAGCCAGCTTAGGAGACTGTCACAGCAGTGACCGCAGGAAGCTGGAGGGGAGCAGCTGGGGCCAGAACAAGGGGTTGAGGCCCACTGGCCGTGGGCAGCCCCGGGAGCCAGCTTCCAAGGCCAGCCATGCACTGTTTTAAGACTCGGGGTGGGGGAGGGCAGTCCGGCTCCAGAAACAGGGGCCGGGCTTCTCTGTAAGGGGTCGGAGGGGCCAGTGCTACAGAGCTCAACCTCCTAGCAGCAGTTTGGAGGACTACATGCAACCGCGGCTCGCAATGCCTAGCATGGTCCTGGGCACAGGAGGTTCGCAATAGGTTGCCGCAGGCAGCTGGAGAGCAAAGGAGGGACACTGGCTTCATTGTTATCTGGGGGCGCCCACAAAAGCAAGTCCAGGACCCTCGATGATCTCCGGTTCCTCCCGATCTAAAATCTGAAGATGCACACACGACTTTTCACCGCGGCCACCCCTCAGCTCAGCTCAGCTCTCCCTTGAGCCTTCACTCAGCAGTCCTGGGCCTTATGTGGGCCTGGGACCTGCCGCAGCATTGCCAGCAGCCCCTCTGTCATTGGCAAAAAGAACACGAATTAAGGAGAGTTAAGACTAAACCTCCCAGTGCGATACCTCGGACACCAGGGCCCGGCCAAGGGAGAGCAAGACCCCTCTCTGCATTTTGCTTTTGGCCAAATCCTAACTAGCTCTCGGTACAGTTCATCCAGTTTAAGTCTGTCCCCATTAATAAGTTCTTTCTGGCACCGGAGTTCCCAGAACGAACACTGGGGGTCCATGGGCCCCAACACACGGGCATTTCTTTTGGCTCTGCCTTCCGGAAGGTGGGTGAGGTCCTCACTAAAACTCTGGCCTGCTAGCCCACCTTGCAGCTGAGAGGTGAAGGAAGCATTTCTGGCTGGTGTGAGTGGAGTCCCGCGCGTTTCCGTTCCTGTGCCAGAAGGGAACCCACGAGGAGCTGCCCCAGGCCCGGCTGACTGTGTAACCAGACTCCGCAAGAGGCGGCGTAGAGGACTGAGGGACAAACAAGAACCACAGGCATTAAAAAGCTTAACAACATTATGCGTTTATTATATTTTATAGAGCCATGTTACACATGCGTGGTGCTTCAAACGGAGTTATCGTTAAATGTTTTTCTGGATGCAAAGCCATCTGATGCTTGATGCGGATGCCTTAAATACTATAATATTTCTGCATCTATGACCTATGAGCTAAGGAAAAAACCAAGGACGACAATTTCAGAAATGGCAAAGAACATTTAAGAAAAGATGTACATGAGACACAATGCTATAAGTCCTTGAGTCAGGGCCTACAGAAGTTACCAGGAAGTGAAAAAAAACAGAGAACTGTTCTGTGAAAACGGCTTGACCAATCACCATCTGTAGATAACAGAGCCTCGTAACAAGCATGGATGTCGTAGAGAAAAGGTTATTCTGTTTGGTACTGATGCCCTTTCCCCTCCACTCCGTATGCAGACGTTGTGCGGCCCCCAGACAGCAGCAAACAGAATACAGCAGCACAGCAACCGCCCCCCTCCCTGCAACACCCCGATGCTGTCTCTTCCGGCGTCTGAGGGTCTTGAAGGAAAAGCAATTTGATCAAACTTGCCACTTTGTGGAAAATCAATCACTGTGACTTAGATGAACGTGGTACTACCACACACCCCCCCTCTGCAGACTCCCAGAACGCTGGTCAGAAACATGGGGAGCCGGGGGACTGCAGTAAGCTCGATTTGCCTGCTGACCTAAACTAAGGCCCATGTGCACGTTCAACATTCCCTTCCGGTTCTGATAAGGGGACCGGAGAAAGTGTGTCAACAGTACGCCACCCACCCCTCCCACGTCTCCACACGGTTCCAGCTTAGACATCCTCTCCAAAGCCCTGCTAACCGCTCCGGCCTGGAGAGGATGCAGGCAGCCTTCCAGCCACGGATAGCCCCACTTCGCCACTTGTGGAGGGCCCGGCCTCCTTCTAGAAGCCCGATGCCGCGGCTCTAAAGGGCCTGCACTCACATCGTCTTCATGCAACCAGGGAACCTGAGCACAACGTGAGCAGTAACCAAGTTGGCCAAGGCCAGTAAGTTAGGGTGCAGGAGACCTAGCCAGACATTCAGCTGCGTCTGCGCAGGCGAGAGGGATTCTGAAGGCGCCGAGGACCTTCTGTAAAGGTCCAAGTGCAGGCTATGGAGTGCATGACCGGAGCTGCAAGGAAGCAGAACTTGGAGTTCCGGTGGCATGCACCTGCCACGACCTGCTAGACTTCCACTAATGCCAATGGGAGCCGGGACATGGGCTACAAAGTCAGACAAGTGCCCGGGGTCTGGGGCCATCCCGGGACAGGCAGGCCTCTGGCTTCCAAGGGCCAGCAGAACAGCTGAGGAGGAAGCCTCAGGGCAGGGCCAGGGCATGAAGGGGACGCCTGTGAACAGCTTCTGCTCTCCCACTATACTGACCTCTTGGGATCCTTGCTCTTGCTGGTGGTCAGATGTCCAGAAAATAGAAGGAACTTAAGGAATCCAAGATTCACAACACGGCTTTCCTGAGCCCTGCTGATCCCAGGCCACAGAGGAGTCAGACAAGAAGCCATCAATTCTCTCTGCCTGCAGCGCGGGGTAGAATCATCAGGTTTCCAACTCAAAAATGTGGGAGGGGGCCAGGTGTTCCGCTGCCACGGACATAAATTGCGAGGTGCGTGAGGATAGCCAGGTTTTGCTGGGCGGGGGGGGGGCAGCAGTGACCGCCCCCCCCCCGGCCTCCTGCCCACCACACTGCGGCGACCCCTCAGGCAGCCCGCAGAGTCTCTGGGTTCTTGCTGAATGGAAGGGACTCTCTCTCCTCTATTTGTGAAGAAACCATCTAGAACTCCGCTTGGAAACGCTGGCAGGCATCGAGATACTCTCTGTCAAAGGGCCTTGCTTGACTCAAATTCAGCGAAGTAAGTGACATTTAAAAGAACCTGCACATGAAAACCAAACGGAGGAAAAAATCTTGATTTTCCTCAAATCCTCAGGCCTTGAATCTAGGCATAGCACACAAACACCATATGAAACCAACAGCGTGAGTTCAATGTCACCTTGGAAAATAAATGTCACTCTGGGGTGACAGTTCTTTATACAAATATTATGCTTCCCCCTAAACCCCCACTACCAAAAAAGGGGGGAAAATAATAAGAAATCCAAAAATAGAAAACAACATCTTGTTAAATGTAAACTTATCCTCTGGAGCTTTTATATTACATATGCTAGGAACATGCATTTATTTCAGTTCGGATGTAAGAAAATATGTCTGTCAGTATCACTTATAAATCAGGTTAATCCTCAAGACAAGGGACTGTTAGAACACCACTTCAAACTGCAGTAAATTACATCTTGAGCAAAACTATAAATTCTAACCACAAGCACGACGGGTTTCGGTTACAGCCAATGAGGACAACGGCTCCTCTTTCACTGCCGCTCCCTGAGGAGCTTCCTACACTACTGGGAATGGAGAGCGCCCGCCAACCGGGAACCTGGGACGTTCCGCCGCCTTCAAGCTCCCACTTCAATTCCTGTCAGAGATGAACTCTGCAGGCCGTGAAAGACACACGGACAAAGGGGCCTGGGGAGCGACAGCTGTTCCCCTCAGAGACAGAGGGGGCAGAGGGGGCAGAAGAGATGACCAAGGCATCCCCCAAGGGATCAAGGCACGGGGAGGGGGGGGGTCGCTCCACCCGGGAGCCTGGCTTCTCTAGCTCACGGTGTGGCTCCGCGGGGGCTGCTGGCGACACCCCCCCACGGCACAAGTCCCGGGGATGGCGCCAGGCCCGGGCTCCCGTGTGGCGGTGCTGGGCGAGGGTGGCGCAGCCCCGGCCTCCTAAGGCGGCCAGCACCCAGAGACTGCTCACCCGGTGGGGCGGGGAGGTAGGGCCTCCGCCCCAGGTCTACTCAGAGAGGCACGCGATGGCGCTGGGGCGCGCAGCTTCGATGGGCCCCGCCACCGGCTTACCTCTCTCCTGCCTGCCAGATACAGCAAAGCCGGGCTTATCCCGAGAACAGCTGGGGTCTTCGGATTAACTCAGTTCCGTCAAACTACCCAATGGATACCAGATTCTGAACAAGTAAGTGTCTCAAGTTAAATTTGTCATTTAGGACTCAGAAGGCACTTCAAAATTCCGGAGAGCCACAGGGTCCCTGTTATTAGGTCGCCAATCCTCCTGTACGGGACCAATGGAGAAGCTGAGAGGGACAGGGCTGCGCTTTTGACCCGACGGTGTCCTGGACACGTGGGACACAAACCTCAGACGGTAGCTGGCTCGTCACCAGCCCCGCAGGGCCAAGCACGCAGCACACACACGGCTGACTGCGCTCTGAATAAATGGCATTTTTGCTGTATCGTGGCAGTTTATAAAATAGTCTCACGAGTGTGATATTGGACTCTAAGTAAAATGCAAAAATTGTAGTCGAACACTTAGGAGGTCACAATGTGAGAGGTAAAGTACTCACTGAGTACACAGTATTCTTCATCATCGAATCACCCTGCCGGTCTGCGCTCAGTATCCAGGGAGAAGCAGGAAAACGAAGCCACGGGCACGCGGCTGCCACGTGGGCCAGCAAGGCTCTCCGACCAACAGCCAAGGAGAACCCTAAGCGCTTCCCGTCAGGCCAGCCAAGGACCCGCTGGGGCCGCCGTGAAGGCAGCCCGCGCCGGCAGGTGCCCTCGGGTCTCCCCTCTGCTCGCGCCCCGTCCAGGTGACAGCTTACCTTGAGAGCACACACACAGGCCGGGGCACAACTGCTCCAGTCACACTTCTGCTGGGGGAGGGGGAGGGGGGAGCTAACATCAAAATCCTATCACCAACGGGCCCGGTTTGGGGTACTCTGAGGTAGTTCCTTAACTCGGGATGCCTGTCACCTACTCTCTCCCAGAATTCAGCACGCGTAGGAAGTCCTGAAACATCTTGCAATCACAAGTCGCTGTAGTTGAGTGCAAAATAAAGGAAACTTGAGTTGCTTTATTTAGCTTCCAATTTCTGGGAGGCTCGAGAATTGTAATTATTCTGGACAACAAAAGGAAATCAGACTGTGCTTACAGATCTTTTTCTGCCGTATTCTTTCTGTAGGACTGCTGTTTTATTGTTGCCCTTTTCTGTCACATGGGGTGTACACATCAGGTGGTAAAAGGTACAATACATTCTACAACTGAGCACCACTTTCTGTAACTGAACAGGCAAAGAAATTACACTGAACATCAGCATCTGGCAGTATTTTTCGGAAAAAAAAAAAGTGACTAAAATGGGTTTAAATTGATTAACACTATTAAATCACATCTAATATTTGATACTACATGATTCAATACAGCTATACGATACAATTATACAAAATGTGTTAACATCAAAGAATACAACCAAAATTAAGATAGCAAACAAAACCTATATAACTTTTTTTTTTTACAGGAAAATACTTTTGAAGTATGCATGTAACTGCCCATTCTTTTAAAGAAAATCTACTGCAAGCAAAGTTATCAACCTCCAGAAAAATCACACATAGCATTACTAAGCATATCCCCAAAAAGTGTACAATATGCACACTTGGAAAATACAAAATTAAAAAAATTGTAAGCAACAGGTGAGCTCCATATTTATAAGAATGTGAAAAGAAGTCCCATTTTTAGCACTGTTGTATAAAGAATTGTCTTTTGATGCGAAGTTCATGAATTGTCCTCCTGCTGGGACCACACTTTACAAAAACACCGTGTTTTTGAAACGAGATTACAGAGCAAGATAGAGCATCTTAGCAATGTCATCTTATTAAAGTTTTTTTTTTAAATTTTTACTACTTTATCAAAACATGTCCCTTAGGTGTGTAGGATTCATTTTTAAAATTCTTTCCTAGAAACAATATACAAAGGAGAGGCCTATTTATTCCCAATCACACTCCTGGAAGATGCTCCCCGGGGTCGAGAAGGGTCTTCTCCATCTTCCTCTCACTGGTTGTTTTTGGCCTTAGCATGTGTTAAGATGTGAGATTTCAGGTTAGTTGACTGAGCAAACTTCTTATTACAGCCGTCGAAGGGGCACACATAGGGCCTGTCCCCGGTATGGATTCGCACGTGTGTGCGCAAATTGAAGTCCAGTGAAAAGCGTTTCCCGCAGCCTTCGAACGTGCACTGTCGAGGAAAGACCAGAGAGAACCCAGCTCAGTGACCGTGCCGGGGCCGAGGGGGCGGGGTGGCAGGCGGCAAACAGCCCGCCTCTCGGGCCGCACACCTTGTCCTCCCCGCTCCGGGGAAACGCGACAGTCCCGGGGCCAGTCCCACCCCAGCACAAGCGGGCAGGGGGCTCGAACTCTGTATGCGGACCACTCGGAAACCCAGGCACAGCACTCAGGAATTATTTTAAATACGGGGTAAGAGACACACTTGGCAAAACACCAAGAATCTTCCTCGGGATCATGTTACGGTCTTAGTACTTATGTCAATGTTTCAAATAATGAAATACAATCGATTAGGAAGGTTTCTGGTGTCAGGTATCAAAAAGAACCGTGTTAAATCGAGACCTGCATTGCTAGTTTGTTCACTTGTGATGGGTTTCTAAAAACAAGACAAAACATCACCTATACTTACTCCGTTCGGTAAAATTTTGGAAGTTCCCCTGTCAATTTAGTAATTCAATATACTTCCATCAACTACCGAAAATAAACTGCTTCAATCCCACAGTGAATGCACTAGAAATGCAGTTTTAGGCTTGCTCATGAGCAATCCAGTTTTCCTCCTGATACAAAGTACACCCCATCAACACCCCGATACACCCTGTCCCCCCGTCTCCAGGACCAGAGACGCTGCACACGGGGAAGGCAAGTGCCGGGGCAGCCCTTGCGGCCGCACCAACGGGACACCGTTTTGGTTTCTCCCTACGGAGCACTGGGAGCACTGAGAGCCGCGTCTCTCCGGCCCTCCAGTGCCCGCAGCCCCGCCTACACTTGCCGGGTGGTGTGGGGAGGGGGAAGGGACGAGCTCTACCTGAAAGGGCTTCTCTCCAGTATGAACCAGTTGGTGTCGTTTTAGTTTTGAGCTCTCAACAAAAGCTTTGCCACACTCTGCACAGACGTGGACTCGGGGGCCGTGGGTGTGCAGGTGCTTTCGCATGGCAGAGTTATCCCTGAACATCTTTGTGCAGCCCTTCAAACAGAGAGAGAAGCTTAGTGGTTCACACTGCAAACTGTTAACAAAGAATTCAACCACTTAAAACAGCCTTCACTGACCCAAGAAACAAAACCACCCCCGGCCCCCCCGCCACTTACGTTTTATTCAATATCAACAGGAGAAATATTAAATGACTTAAGACAAAAACCAGACAGCTGGAGAAGGCCTTCTCGTTTAATGCAAACCCTCGTGTTACAGATCAGGAAACTGAGGCTCAGAGATGTCTTTAAGGAGACTTGCCCAAGGTCACACTGCTCGTAGGAGCCGAGCCAGGGGTAGAACCCAGCAGCCTGGCTTCCAGCCACACCACAGCTGCCTCCCCCAACTCTGTGCCCAGCTGAAGTAGCAGAAGCCCTGGTAAACAAATGGGGTTGAAAGGAGAGCAGTCCACCACTACCTTTGGTGGGCCCCATATTCTGGGCTGCAAGAATGGGCTGTCACTCTCCATCGCCTACTGTTCCCTCTTCTCTCTTTGCCTCTTTCCCCTTCTTGACAGAGAAAGAAGCAAGAGGGTCTCCAAGGAATGGCAACTACAGAAGAAATTGATTTTGTGAGACACCAGGAAAGGAAGCAGGCACACGGACGCCGGAGCGGGGAGCGGGGCGCGGACGGGCGTGCACTGCTCAGGACAAGCATGGCCTTCCCAACTTCTTCTGCAGTTGCTGTCCAGGGATGGAGCGGGTGGGGGATGAGTGGACAGGACGACAGCTCACAGGCACGAGGGAGGGGAAGCCGCGGCTTTGGCACCTTGACCCCCAGGCTGTGTTTCCATTTAGCAAATGGAATTTTTTTAAAAATGTAAATTTGGAAAAGAAGTACACAGAGAAGCTACAGGGAGGACAGACACTTAGGGCCTAACTGTTTTCAAATGCTTCTTTACGTGTTGGCCCCCAAAGGAACTTGTTTTACATCTCAAAATCTCCATTCACTAAGCGTGTTGAAAAACCACACAAAGAACCTGTGAGTGGTCATTAGAAGGACATCGCCAAATGAAACTCATCCTTCTTCAATTACTGATTTTTAAAAATTCTTCATCCCATTAAAACTTTCTCCCCACCTCCGTGATACTTCTTTTTCTGTTAGTTTTACATCCATCCAATTAAGTGTGAAACAGACCCAACCAACACCTCAAAGTACTTTTTAGGTGATATCCTTTCCTTTGGAAGACTAGCCACATTTTGAAAACAATTAAGCACCCCTCTAGTAACACACAGTTAACAGGGCAAATTAAGAAAATTGTGAGAGATGCAGTTTTATTAGGCTTACTTTAGCAGCATCCAAAATAATTTCCAAATTTCCATAATGAGCTTTCAGCCCCACAAAGGTCCATGGGTGAGACACCACCCAATGTCTTAAGATTGACTTGTTCATGATCCAAAAGGAAGAAATAAAATCCTAACATTGTATATTCAATATATAGTAAGAGCAAAAACACTGGCGCCCTACAGTAGCCCCATTAACGGTATTTAAATTTAAGTGGCCTTTACTGAACAACAAAACTTACATCACAAATACAGCCTCTTGAATTTAGAAAACAAAGACTTTAGTTCCTCATTTAATTATTAGATGGAAATAAAAGTGCAGATTGCTTATGAGCTCTCTAAATCTTCATTGGCAGTTTAACAAACACTTTTCCCCTAGCATTACTTACTTTATGAGGGCAAGCTATTGTTCTTGGAGCATCATCTTCTTTAATTTTTCTTGGCTTCATTCTTACCAAAAAGAAAAAAAAAAAAAAAAAAAAAAAGAGAGAGAGAGAGAGATTTGTAGGAGTGGGTAGACTCATCTGGCATAAATCATATAGTCCCTACAATGTTTTCCTTACAGATACAAACAACTATGGTTATAGGTGGCATCCAGGAGGGAAAGGATGAGACCACATTCCCTGAGTACCACCCGTGACTGGGAAGCACCCTTCCCATTTCACAGGTGTGGGTGCTGGTGCTCAGAGAGCCTGAGTCGCTGCCACGGTCTCGCAGCGAGCGAGCCAGGGCAGCTCAGACCGGCACTGAGGTCTGTGCGCTTCAAATATCTGCTCTTTCCTCCAAGCTCTTGAAATAACACGAAAGACCACCAGCCCAAACCACAGAGGAATCTCTTAGTGGGAGCAAAGCAAGGTATCCAGGAGCAGCTGCTGTGGTAACAAAGACACCTTGTGAAAAGGAAGCAGCAGATGGGGGAGGGTCTTAAACACAAATCCCTACAAAACCCCTTAAAAAAAAGGAGGGAGGGTTCACTTCATACTGACAGACATTATCTTTAGGAGAGATAATTTTTTAAAAGGGCACAGAAGAGTCCTTGTAAACAGAAAATCATTTATATACATTATCTCTGGAAAGAAACATAGTAAATGAACTTGATACTGGTGTTTTGGGGAAGAGCCCCCAGGGACTGGTGGACAGGTGGGAACACCCCATACCCTTTCCCACTGTTGAATTTTATCATACTACTACTTTTGATGGTGGGGGTGGGAGGGAGGTTACCGTTTTTCAAATAATGAGAGCATTTAAAAAAAAACAAAACAGAACGACAGAGATTTCCAGCCCTGCTTTGGGACTGGGGTGTAACAGGAACCCCATGCGGACTCACTACCCAGAGAGCTTGCTGATTTGGGAGCTTACCTACCTGCTATTTCCACTGAACCAACCTTTGGTCTTTTGTCAAAACTTTCTCTCCAAATACTCCCTACAGATCTGTGTGTGGTAGAGGGGTGAGAGATTAAAAGTTCCTAGAGAGACTAGAAAAAAAGATTTACATCTTCGAGACAGACGCTCCTTCTGTCCCGTCTACCACCTCACTGCCCTACGTGAGAGTGCACAGCTAACAAACGAGCCACGAGGTCAGTGATGCCTTACCAGTAAGAGCTAACTTACCAGCACTCTCTCATCACAAAAGATTTCTGCGGTCATCTTTAAGTTAGCAAAGCCCTAGTGCAAAGGTCCTTCCTTCACCCTTGATCTGGGAAAAGGATGACCTGAAGATTTTGTTTTATAAAACCTGAGCTGACAAAGTCATCTAGTTAAACTCTCCATCCCTCGAGGAGCATTGGTGAACCAATTTCTCTGGCGACTAGAACTTACTTCTAAGGAAGTCTGTTCAAGACGGTATGAATTTCCTACTTTAAGTTCTGAGAACATTTCCAGCTTGGTATCTGCCCCCGTTCCAACCCTGTAGACACTCCTCCTTTCTTCTACTTGGGGGATCACCCCATCAGTAAGCAAATATTTTCTAAATGCCTGTTGTGCACGGGGCTTTGAGCTGGCCTGTTATCTGAAACACCATTAAACCCTGGAGCTGGTCTGAGCTCACAGAACTTTGTAGGACAAAAATTTGGTGCCACTGCGCCACCTGGAGGTTAGATCAGAGTTTGGAAAACAATAGTGATTCACATGAATGGGTTCTACTCCAATCAAGTATTAATAAGAAAAAAAGGGTATATTAAGAACCAGGCTTCCGTCTTCCCAACGAATAACGACATTTACTCCTTGATGATTACACTCAAATACTCTATGTCTCTCTCGACTACAGACACGGCTACATGATCCTGTCCAAATTCGCAAGAGTGGTACTCACCTAAAGAGGGTGAATTTTATTGTTTGCAAATTATGTTAATAAACCAACTTTAAACATGTCCACTGGGCTGACAGAGAAGTCGCACAGACAACTGCTTCCTGGCCCACCCATCTGGGGCTCCAGGGTGGGGTGTCCATGTCAGTGAGGTGCCTGCTGCAGCACCTCATGGAGTGAGCCCACCCCTGACATTTTCTTAAATTTATTCCCAGGAACTTGATTTTTGAAAACTTTTTATCATGGAAATTTTCAAATAGACACAAAATTAAAGGGCACAGTTCCAAGTACCATTTACCAAACTCTCGATTTATTAAATGTTATCATTAAGTGGTATTTTTCCTTAAAATGTCATTTGCAAAATGTGTGCCAGCAGGTAGCATATAATTGATTTCAGAATGAAAGTTTAAAATGTATTTGGACAAACACCCTTGGACACAAGAAGGAAGTGAAAGGTTTAATTGCAGCCACTCTTAAGCTCCTTGGCAAATCCTCCTTCTTCACCAGAGTGGCAAATGAGGCAGTGTGTGTTGTTGGTGCCTTTTATATTTTATTTGAAGGCAAACACTGAAAAGGTCATTTTCCAAAAACTAGATTGAAAGTGGTTTTTTGTGGTTTTTTTTGTGAGTAAAGACTAAAATTAAAATCTTCATGGCACCAACTGATACATAACCTACACAATAAAAAACAGTATTTGAAATCCTAAAAAAGTAATTTTTAAAAAGCCTAAAATCATATACTGCTACTTGGAATATCTCTTCAACATGCCCAAACTATTCAGAATAACCAAGATTTGAGTTCTCCCTCGACTGGGAGCCTTTACACAGGACGCCGTCGGCGGCGGAGGCACTGGCGGGCGGTAGTGGGGGGCACAGGGCCGGGCTTGGCGCCGACTCCTACCAGCTGCACGACCTTGAGCAAATCACTGAACTTCTCAGCCTCAGTTTCTCACTCTGTAAAAAGGTGGAATGCTACCTGCTTTGTAGCTGCCAAGACTCAAAGAGAGGATGCACGTGAAGCTATCGGGGAATGACAGCTATTCTTATCCCCAGCTGTGTGTTAAATGCGCCTGGCTAAAATGAGTTCATTCCTAAAAAAAAAAAAAAAAAAAAAAAAAGCCAGTTGTACTTAACAGTCCAGAAGGTTCTGGTGCTCCAAGCCACCGTTTTCAACTAAAGGGCTGAGAGACTAGAGAAAAACGGCACAAGTCGAGTAGAAAGGCACCTTCGGTAGATTACAAAGTACGAGGAGGAGCCAGGTACGCAACAAGAGAAGCTTCCTGTTCAATGGGAAGCGGAGAGCACTCCGCACGCTGCACGCAGCCCAGCCGCTGGGTTTGCCTGGGCTCACTCCGCACCTGGGGGGTGGGGGCGGCACTGTAAAGGCTGGACTCCGGGACCAAAAATCTGCAGGAATCTCCTGGCACCACTTGGAGCAGGGCAAAACCAGAGTTGTAAGTTAAAGCTCAATGTCCCAGACGCCGAGATGAACCGTTTTTAAATCAGAGATTCTCAAATGAAGAGAGTCCTGTTCATAGCAAAACGATAAGCTTAGTCGCCTTCAGCCTAGAACCCTGATGGGGACCTGTGTTGGGGGCAGAAGTTCCTGGAACCCAGCTCCCCTCTGCAACCGCAACTCCCCTCCCTTCTTGGTGCAACGAAGAGCGGTGCCTCAGACAAACGAGACTAAGTTCGCCAGAGAAAGTATCTCCTACGGAGACAGCACATTTTCCTGACGGTCCTTCCAGCTCCGCTCCACCAGCTCATCTTTATGCTACTCCTGCGAAAGTCTCAGGGTGGGTGGTGGACGACAACTAAATTAACCAGCTTGTGACTGACCTAACCACTCTTAATTCTGATCTTTCTAGACCGGAAGTTTCCGAAGGGCTAACTGTAGTTAATGAAAAGAGCACAAAGGCTGCTCATTTAATCAGGAACAAGAACTCACCAGGTCCCACCCACTGGCCACATTTTGAAGTATTTAAAAAAGAACAAAATCCCCCCCTCCCCCAATACCAGGACTTTCAGATGAAAAGTCCTTATTTCTTATACTTGCCCCCCTCCCCATATAACTGATTTACTTACTCCTAACCGATTCTCTAGGCTCAGTGCGGCAGGAACCCGAACCACTCTGGTCAGTTCCAAGTCCAGTGCAGAACCCCCTCTCTCCCCAGCACAGGAGAGAGGGAAAAGCAGCTAACACGCTACCTCAAGCCAACAGCTGAGCCATGGAGTGGAGGTGGATAAAGGGGGTTCTGTGGGTCTTTACAAGAGAAGAAGATAGGGTCTGGCCCCTAACAATTTGAAACTTGGTGCCTCTTTGTCTTTAGCTTTCAGAGTCCCAATCACCAATGCCGGGGCCCCTGGAAAATCCTCTTCAGCGGTTGGTTACACACATTTTCAAAACGCAAAGATCTAAGAAAAGAGGGCATTCCAGGCTCCAGTACCTCTCACCACCACCACCGTCCAGTTAGAGACTTGATAGTTTTCCGTGATCTGTTCCAGGATACTAAGAACAACGGGGATGAGCGGGAGCCCAACCCTCTACCCTCACTTTGTATACACTGTCAGGATGAGCAAGATCTCATTCTATTCTGTACACAAAATGAAATCTTTAACAGGATGATTAGAAAAGAAACACACACTATATTCAGATGATTATGGAAACAGATCGCCTACTGTAGAATGTTAACTGTGTGCTAGGATCGCATTTCTTGCTCTGTGAGTCCAACACAGTCGCTTCAGGACCAAGGAGAGACTTGCAGAGTCAGGCCAAACAAGTTCAATGCACTTCAACCATCATCAAATTTATGCCCACTTTTAGGCCACAGCTTTCTTATTAGCACTGCCTCTCTCTTCAGAGGGTTTCTGATTATCTTTTCCTTTTTAGAAAACTCTTTCCCATACCACCAAGACCTTCTGGCTTCTTACTCATTCTGTGCACCGCTGAATGAACTCAATTTTTCCTGAAGAAAGCCCTACAATTCACCGACTTTCTGTTCTCAACTGAATGGGTTTCCAACCTGATTCTCTGTTCGCCAGGTTCTTTAAGAAGGCTTCCTTTTGATGTACGTCCTCGTCTTCCTGGAGTATATCCTCCAGTAACCCCCTCAGAAAGGGTAAATGCAACATAAAACAAATCCTTATGTGTCTACAATTGCCACTTTTATGCCTTGTAGTTGACCAACAGCTTTGCTGGATCGGGATTTCTATGTTTACAGTAACTTTTCCTCACAAATCTCAAAACGTGACTCCGCGGTCTTCTAATTATCTACTGCTGGTGAAGAAAAGGCTCATTCAGGTCTAGTAGGGTTGAAGGCAGCCCTGAGGCAGGCTCGAGGCCACTTGGGAAACAAGCAGAAGCTTCTATTCGACAACGGTGACACGCACCTCCCAAGTGCAGGGCCAACACCCCAGATTTTCTGTTCAGGGAACTGTGGACAAGCTTCCAGATCAGCTGCCCCAATTCAGCAATGAGGGTGAACACCACCAAGGGTGGGTCACCAACACCTCATCACTTCTGCTCGCCACCCCCAGGTTCCTGCTCTCTGGAACATCCTACCTCAGCCCTCTCTCTGCTCCTCCACTGAAATCACTCCGCAAAGTATAACTGAGAGAGCAGAGGTCCCTCTCTTGGACCTTCTGAGCACTCCCCTGGCTTTTATGACACTGTATGTACTTCCCTGAGCCACACCGTCTGTCTGAATGAGCCCTGTGCCCTGTTGCTGGTTCCCTTACCCTCCGATCACAGGGTTTTCCCAAGACCGGCCTCTCGGCAACAGGCCTCTCAGAGCGTGCATGTCTGGGCCACTTTCGGCCTCAGCCACAGTGCAGCAGATGAGTCTAGCCCTGATGTACTTCCTGAAACCACGTCGGGCCCAACAGGGATGATTCATTACCATCTAAAGCCAAACAATGCCCACCCTGAACCCCAAACCAGCACCCTCTCCCAATCTCGTGCCACCTGAGGCGCGAAGCATTCAACTTCCACTCTGAGTCCTCCTTTCCGGAGACACACAGCCGGTCTGGTTCTCAATCTCATCTCCTGCCACCCTCATCTCATTTATTCTTTCACCATCTGGCCGCCGCAATCCCAGCTCAGGCCTTCGTGACCTCTCCCACTCCCTGTCTGGCCCTTCGCCGACCCAGCCTGGACACAGAGGATGTGTCCTTCTCTCAAAGCCAACCTCTGATCACAGAGCCCCTTCTCTACCGCTCACACACCTCTGGCAGCTGCCCACCGCACACTGAAAACATTCCCAGATGTGGGCCCGGTATTCAGAGAACTCTTACACTCCAACTGTCTCCCTGTGAGCCTCCGAATTCCCAGCCGAACCTACTTATCCTTTTCTGAACGTATATCCGATGGGGGTTGAGTCCCTTCCTTTCCACCAAACTCATGCCACACTAGCATTAGGCCCACCATGAGAACCCCACCTGCCCCCTCAAATCTCAGTGTTTTTCAAGGCTCACGTCAGACGCCACCGCCTCTGCAAGGCTTTCCTTGACTCCTTCGTTCGTAGGTCTACTCCTGGGGACAGCATCCTCTACCCTCGCTAAATTCCAAGTACGATAACAAGGGATGACTAACTTTAAAAACACATGACAATACTAAACATTGGCACACAATTTGACTCCATCTGCCCCAAAACTCTAACCTCACTGCTGACTCTATCTACAGATTCCATTTTTATTTGTATTGGAGGGGTGGGGAACGGAGTAACATTTGAGTAGCATACCGTATTTAAAATATGAAAGGCAACAAAAGCTGGGAGACATAATGTCATTCACAAAAGGACAGAAGCCTTAACTTTTTTTTGTTGAGCCGTGATCAATCAGAAATAGACTCACGTGTAGATTCCCTGTGGCGGCAGTTTCATGGGATAGGAGAAAAGGGTACATACCCCTTTATTACAACACCTCTGACACTGACACCCATCTGACACATGGGGAAACTGAGGCTCCCAATGGCAGGACCCACCTTGTTTTGGGCAGGGCTGGGAGAAACCAGGACACACCAGGCCTCCAGCTCTTATCTACTCCACTCTGCTCTCAAGAAAAAGACAGACAAGGATCCCCTCTCTGTTCCTAGATGGTGTGGGATCACAAAAATGTCTCTCTTCCTCATCCTGCCCTTGCCTAAATTTCCTGACTATTCCAGGCTCCATTCAACCTCAGGGTGGGAAAAGAAGTCATCCTTCTGCTCCAGAGTTTATGAATTCACTTCATTTTATTTAAAACTGTCTTTGAGTGTGTTCTCATGTCCTCGTAGAAACTGCCCAATGATGCTGGGAAATAAATACTACAAAAGGGGGCAGATGCTTCTGCGGGAGCCCAGCCCACTTCAGGCCAAACAAGCCTCTGGTGGGTCCAGATCTTCCTGACTGCTCACCGTGGCCAGTCACAGGGGTCCCCGCCATAAATATTTGATGCCCGCTTCAATGAACAAAACCCTGGGAGTTTAACTGAGGACACACTGAAATATGAACTGATGACTCCTTCCCAGTGGTCAGCTGTGCCCGCCCAGCTCCAACCCAGGCCCCCGCAGCTTGCTCCAGCACAGCGCCCTCCAACCGCTAGCAGCTAGTGTAAAGATACCCATTTCCAAACCAATTCTATGCAAGTTTATTTATTCACAAGCAAAATCAACTACGGAATTAAGAAGTAGTTGCTTCATCTCACTGTCAGCAAGGATCTAAAATGGTGCCACGCCCATTAATAGTGCAGTTACCCCTACAAACAAAATGAACTGCTTTTGTTTTTACAAGTTTCCCTGGAGCAAGACTATGAGCCACCATTGTAACTTAGACTCAAAGAACACAGCTGCTGACTCTAAGTACTTTCTATAATGAGAAAGAAAGGAAATTCTTAGGGCTTACCTAGCAAATTCTGCCAGTTGTTTGGGGTCTGAGAGGTCAATGCCAGGTATCCCTCCAGGAGGAAGCTTCTTCCCTGTCATATACTCTGAATAATCAGGAGGGGAGTTCTCTCCAATGATCTGCTCTTCAACCACTGTCTCATGGTCAATATCTTTTTTTTCATCTGAAACACACCATAAGATTGATTATTTTAGCAGAGTAAAAATGTGTATGTGGGCAAATACATTTTAGAACTATGAAAAGTGCTTTCATTAGCAGCTTCTCCAATTTCTTAACCACCCAGTCTTTCTCCTCAGTCGCCAGAAATCCTGTTTCTGCCTGAAGGTCACCAGAATCTGCGATGCCAAACCCAATGGCACCAAACCCAGAGCCAGTGCTCCTTTTCAGCCTGTTAGGAATATTCCCCATTCCTGACTCAGCATTCACCTGCCTGGTTCCACTCCCACTTCTCGAACTGCCTTCTTGTCATGCTTCCTTGCTTCTCCTCCCACCACTTCTCAGAGTTCTGCTTTCTGTCCACCCTACACACTTCCTGTTAACCAGCAACACGGCAACCCTGACTTGAGTCTGATGCCCCAGCCTTCACCCTGCAGCCGGGCTCCTGCCTTCCCCTCCAGCCCCTCATTCTCACTGCTCTCTCCTCACTCTTTGCTCCCGCTCTGCTGGCCTTTCAGTTCTTCACATGTACTCCAGCCCTTCACCCTAATCCCATGGCCTGTTCGCAGGCAAGTTCTAATCACAGCAATGTGATTTTTGTCGGCCTCACCCACTAGACAGTAAGCGCCACGAGGACAGGAATCCTTGTCAGTTTTGTTTTTTGTTTTGTTTTATTTTTTTTTAAAGATTTTATTTATTCATTTATTTGAGAGAGTGAGAGAGAGAGAGCACATGAGAGGGGGGAAGGTCAGAGGGAGAAGCAGACTCCCTGCCGAACAGGGAGCCCGATGCGGGACTCGATCCCGGGAATCCAGGATCATGACCTGAGCCGAAGGCAGTCGCTTAACCAACTGAGCCACCCAGGCGCCCTCCTTGTCAGTTTTGATCCCCAGGTATCCCCAGAGCCTGGTTCAGTCTGCAGAGAGTTGGCCCTCAGTAAATAAATACGTGTTCAAAGAATGTAGGACATCTCTACTTGAATGTCTTACTATCATCACAAATCCAACAGGTTAAAAGAAAGGAATACTGACCCCCATAATTAATCTCCTACATCCCAAACACCAAATCCTATTGATTTTTTGGAAGGTCTTCTCCCTTTGTCCCACTGCCATCAAGTTAGTCCTTAGTATCTCAAACCTCAACGACTATCGTTAATTTCTTAATTCATCTTCCCAATTCTATTCTTTGCCACAATGATCTATAATAAAGGATCAACTGATACCGAACATGCAGCTGATATATTTTCACATGGTATGAACCCTTCAGAGGTATAAATTATACATCAACTTGGCATCCTGGGTCCCTTGCTGCCTGGTTCCAGTTTACACAGCTAGCCTGACCTTCCATTTCTCCTAGGCACAAGCACTCCATAATGCAACCAGGCTGTGCTCCTCCCAGGTTAACTCACAAGCACCTGGCAGGAGAGATTCTCTGAGGGGTTGTTGATTCTATCGCTCTGGCCTCAGATTCTTACCTTTTCCTTGAACTCCTACCTTAGTTCTTGATTACAACGCTGACAAACTCTAAATCATGCTGTTTTGAATTTTTATTGTCCTTGCCTCTTACACAAGGGTCAAGTGCCCAGAGGCCCAAACTGGTTGGTCTTCAACCACTGTGGTGCTGAAAGCAGAAAATAAAGATGCTCCAAAGTTTTCCATGCTGACTGAAATGTCCTGCTTCTCCATCAAAATGTTTCACAAAAGGCAGTAACAATAGGACTTTCTGAAGTGAAAACTGGCTTGTTCAATTCTTACCTTTCCACCAGTATTAAGAAACAAGACCAAAGGGGCGTCTGGGTGGCTCAGGCAGTTAAGCGTCTGACTCTTGATTTCGTCTTAGGTCATGATCTCAGGGTCGTGAGATCGAGCCCTACATCGGGCTCCAGGCTGAGAGCAGAGTCGGCTTGAGATTCTCTCTCTCCCTCTGCCTCTGCCCCCACCCAGGCACGCTCCCTCTAAAATAAAATCTTAAAACACAAGACCAAAAACCAACCAAACCAAACCCTACAAGTGACATCACTTACTATCAAAAAAATGTCTAGCTGTTTATCACCAGGTTCTCTGACATTAGGGTATGAGGGCAAGGTAAAAAGACAGAATGTAGGGGCGTCTGGGGGGCATAGTCCGTTAAGCCTCCGACTCTTGGTTTCAGCTCAGGTAGTGATCTCGGGGTTTAGAGATTGAGCCCCGGGCCAGGCTCCACCCTCAGCATGGAGTCTGCTGGAGATTTTCTCCCTCTGCCCCTCCCCACCAAGTAAATAAATAAATCTTTAAAAAAAAGGCAGAATGTAGGTTCATTTGATTCACATGGTCATTATCATGTTCAGTCAATCGCTCTCAGTGATGAAAAGCACAGAACAGGATACTTTTAAATGTTAAATGTCTCTCTTCTCCCACTGCTCTTCGTTTTATTTTTTAAAAATTTTATTTTAGGGGCGCCTAAGTGGCTCAGTCGCTAAGCGTCTGCCTTTGGCTCAGGTCATTATCCCAGGGTCCTGGGATCGAGCCCCACATCGGGCTCCCTGCTTGGTGGGGAGTCTGCTTCTCCCTCTCCCACTCCCCGTCTGTGTTCCCTCTCTGTCAAATAAATAAATAAAATCTTTAAAAAAAAATTTTTTTTTTATTTTAGGTCATCTCCTACACCCAAAGTGGGGCTCGAACTCACGACCCTGAGATCAAGAGTCGTACGCTCCACCAACTGGGCCAGCCAGGCACCTGGGCCCACTCTTCATTTTAGAAAACATTAAACGCCACTGCCAGGAATCAGAGAATGTTTACTGTGCAGGCACTGTTTCCATTACTGCGCACATCACCCTGGAAGTGGGCAAATCAGCAAGTTCACTCTTCACAGGAGAAATCTGAGGCCCAGAAAGGCTCTGTAACTTGCTCAGGGCTATCTGGCTAATAGTAAGGGGCGGACGTGAGCGCAGGAAGCCTCGCTCTTGGACCCGGGGCCTTTCCCGTTAAGCCCAGCTGCCTCTAGTTTGAAACAAGAATGATCTCAACAACATATCCCGGGTAACCTCTTTACAGATGAAGAAGCCTAAGGAAAACAGAGCTAGATGCACTCATGAAGGACAGGAAATGTGGTTAATGATCATAAGTTAGAAAGCGAGGACTCGGTACTGTAACCCGACTCTTGTTCTCGGGGCCACGACAATTCCCTCACCCTCCAGTCTTCTAACCGGGGCGCAACTCCTACCACACCGACTTTCAGGTGCTACAGAAACGCACGGGTGGGCAGGGGAGCTATTTTTCCGCACCGACTCGTACTTCTGACAGAAGAACGCTAGCAAGGCTGGGGAGCACGGCTGCTCGGAGGAAACTACTGGGAGGAGAGTCGCATCTCCAGTATGCTTGGGCACAATCCGGGAGTAAGGAATCACACTCCTCACGCTGTCCAACACATAGTAACTGAGGGCCTCCTACGTGCCTGGCACTGTTCCAAGGCACCAGAAACAAAACAAAGTCTCTGCCCTCACGGAGCCTTTATTCTAAGTGAGAAAAGCTGTCTTAGTTCGGGCTGCTCTAACAAAAATACCACAGACCGGGGGGGTTAAACAACAGGAATTTATTCCTCACAGTTTTAGAGACTAAGGTGCCAGCCAATTCAGTTCCTGGTAAAGGCACTCTTCCTGGCTTGTCAACAGAACCTTCTTGCTGTGCCCTCACATGGTGGAGAAATGGATCATCTCTCTCTGTCTCTTCTTTATCTATAAGGGCACTAATCCCACCAGGAGGGCTCCACCCTCATAACCCAATTACTTCCCAAAGGCCCCATTTCAAAATACCATCATGTTGAGATTGGGACTTTAACTTATGAGTTGGGGGGGGAGGACCTCAAGTCAAATGAGGAAATGCTTCCTGAGGCTTGAAACTCAGTTCTTTCTTACAACATTCAACAACGCCAAGCACCCAGAGAACAGTCACTAACATCACCAAGAACTACAATACATGTATGGAGTCTGAGACTGACAAGTTTTACAATCCCCAAGTACAGCCAGTGAGCCGGACCCAGCCTGCCAACCTTCTTCCAACATTTTCACAGTTCCTTTCTATTTATTTTTTTATTATGTGTGTGTGTGTGTGTGTCGGGGGGAATCTCAAGCAGGCTCCACACCCAGCCGATGTGGGGCTAGATCTCATGACCCTGAGATCATGACCTGGGCCGAAATCAAGAGCTGGACACTCAACTGACTGAGCCACCCAGGCGCCCCTCCTTTCTATTGTTTAAAAATTTTTTGGTTAGACACCAAAGGGGGCGCCTGGGTGGCTCAGCTGGTTAAGCGACTGCTTTCGGCTCAGGTCATGATCCTGGAGTCCCGGGATCGAGTCCCGCATCGGGCTCCCTGCTCGGCAGGGAGCCTGCTTCTCCCTCTGACCCTCCCCCCTCTCATGTGCTCTCTCTCTCTCATTCTCTCTGTCTCAAATAAATAAATAAAATCTTTAAAAAAAAAAAATTTTGGTTAAATAGACATGAACATATTTATCATTTTAACCATCTGTGAATGTGCAATTCAGTGGCATCAAGCATATTCACAATGCTGTGTAACCATCACCACTATCTATACCTAAGACTTCATCATCCCTAACAGAAACTTGGTACCCATTACACAACTGCCCCCCCTACCCTGGTAACCTCTTTTCTACTTCCTGTTTCTATGAATTTGCCTATTCTAGGTACCTTTTATAAATGGAATCAAACAGTATTTGTCATTCTGTGTCTGGTGGACTTCACTAAGCATGTTTTCAAGGTCCACTCATGTTGTAGCACGTACAAAATTTCATTCTCTTTCATGGCTGAATAATATTCTTGTACGGACATACCACATTTTGTTTATCCACTCATCTACTGATGGACACATGAGTTGCTTCCATCTTTTGGCTACTGTGAATAATGCTGTTATGGACAATGGTGTGCACAGACACCACCTATTTTTAGAAATAGTTTTATTGAAACACAGCCATACTTATTTGTTTACATGTTATCTTTGGCTACTTTCCTGCT